GGAACTTTCTTTGAGTTTTCCACAAATTTCGCGAAGTTTGTTGCACGAAATCATCAGCGAAAAGCAAGAAGAGGTAACGAAGTGGTTGAAGGCGCAGGCGGCCGAATTTTTCGACGAAGGAATTTCCAAGCTCGTACATCGCTACGATAAATGCCTTAATTTGTATGGTGACTATGTAGAAAAGTAGTATTTGAGTGTGGCTTTCATCTGTATATAATAAAATTTGTTTCCTATACTTTGTTTATTTTTTATTCCAAAACGTAATCTACTTTCTGGATAGCCCTCGTAGTATGAATATAAGATATGAATATATGACATTTTAAGTATCCACAATGAGTTTGATTTCAACTGTGATGTTTATCCTAAACATTTTTCTGTTTACCTCATTCCTCACATCAGTTTTTTTTTTTTTTTTTTTTTTTTTTTTTTTTTTTCTGCAAAATAAAAAGTAACTTCAATTTTTGTGACATTTATTAGATGACACTTATTCTTCACAGTCTCTTTTTATTTAATTCAATTACTTGAAATATGTTGTCATTTCCAGGAGTTTTTCTACTTTACTAATGAAACCTTTAAAAAATTCTGTTGAAAACAAGCACAATAATATTATTGTCATCTTATTTTTTCATCTGTCAGTTATAAAACTGCTTAGTAGATATTCCACAAAGCACTTAGATTCTATTGCAAATTTTTAATTCTGTGAGAATTTTGTAACACTTCTTTATCGGTGTGATTTACATATGTTGGGCAAATTAAGCATTAAAATTTTGCATTAAAGAGATTCAATCCTATGCTAGAAACAGAGAAATAAATTAATCTGCAATACTTTGTGATATTTTTTCCTTAACAACAATTTTGGTTTTATTTCTTTAAAAAAATTGATGGATTAGATTTTTTACATTCATAAAAACTTATCTATTTTCAATAATGGCATCAATTCCTATTAAAATTAATAAGATAAATATTATTATAAAAACCAATGTCAATCACTTTTTTCGGAGGGGAAGGGAAAAGAGAGTTGTCCTAACTTTACATCTATTCATAATCCCACATCAAAACTACTAGATGCATAGGTAAATTTAAAATTTTATAAATCATTTCAGATAATAGGCCCAATTAGTAACCAAGATATTTACCTCATCCCACACCAAGAACTTAATTATATTTTCTTAGACCAAATAATAGACAGAAAAGATAATGAAAAGACAAGTCAGTAATTACTATTCTAGCAAAACAGAAAGGTGCATGAAATAAACTGCTGAAAATCTTAATAGATAAGAGTACAGACTTCTATTAAAGATAATGAAATTAGTTTTTTAAGTATTCCTTAATTAAATTACAGAATAATTTTCACTTTTTAAAAATATTCTTTTTAAAAGCAGAAATACATATTTTTATATATCAAGAAGTCTATAATTATCTCTCTCTTTACTCTGGCTTCCAAAAGTAAAGCACACAATGCAAATTTGCAATTTTCAAAAGAGCGGCTGAATTTGAGTGATTGAAAACTGCTGCGAATGCAGATTGAAAAAATTGTTTTTACAGTCAATCATAATTGGCTATCAGAACATACACTATTTAGGGAGTTGTTGAAGATGTTAGCATTCAAAAGGGTTTGAGGAGTTTCTTTTAAATGGTGCAGTCTTGTTTGACAACTGGATGGGAAATAATATGCCAATAAGCCTTTTCATAATTCTAACTAAGGCATGCAGTATCTTACTGCATGCCTTAGTTAGGCATGACAAGTGGTTTTTGTGTGTGAAAGCTGCCTTAGAAGGCACCTGGTTTGGTTTATTTAATTATAGGAAAGTACAAGAGGGCTATCAACAAGCTATGGATGGTTTAGATGCAGATTCAACCTGCATAATTGCAGAATCCGTAATGAGGCAACACAGATGTAGAAGCAGCAGAAACATTTGTTGATGAATTTGATGGAATAATTTAAAAAGGCAGCTGTTGCCCAGAACATATATTCATTGTGTATGAAACGGCTTTGCTGGGGGGAAAAAAAAAAATGCCTGAAAGATCCCATATGCAGAAAGAAGCTAAGACAGTAGCCGTTTTAAAGATAGAATCACGTTAGTCACATTCAAGGTAGGACCTTTTCAGATTTATCTCTTTGAAAATCTGTGTGCATTGCAGAACTTTCATAGAAACAGTCTAATTATTGGGTCAGTCCATAAATTCGTGCGCATTTTTTGGTGAATTTTTAAATAATATAAAAAAATCACCATTTAACATTTTAATCAATTATATATTTTCCCCCATTATCTACAATGTCTCGCCATCTTACAGACAGCTCTTTAATGCCATTGCTGTAGAAAGACTCTGGTTTTGATGCAAAAAAACTTGAAAGTTCATTGTGTACATCCTGTTTAGAATTTAATTTTTTTCCCAGTAAAAAATTTTGTAAGGCATGAAATAAGTGAAAATCACTTGGGGTAATATCTGGGGACTAAGCAGAATGTGGCAAAAGCTTCCAATTAAATTCACTAATTTTTTGCAGCATTGTTCGAGCCGCATTTGGTCTAGTGTTATCATGATGAAAGGACACTTTCTTGATATTCACTAAATGTGGGTGTTTTTTCGATCAATTCTGAGTTTAGATGGCAAAGTTGTTCACTATAAACTTCTGAATGAATTGTTTGATTTGGTTTTAACAGTTCAAAACGTCCTGAACATAATTCATCATCAATGCTGCTTTTTCCAAATTAAACCTTTTTAAACCATTTCTGGGCAGTCCTTACACTAATAGTGTGTCGTTGCAAACCTGGCAGATTCACCACACGAAAATACAAAATGTAGCACAGCACGTTTGTACTGATTATCCATATTCATCTTCTATGGGTACTAAAATGTGTTCGATATTTATGAAAGTTGGTGATGAACTGAATAATATGTTAGTCAAAATGATGACAAGTTTCAACAGGTTCAAAATTGTATTGTTTTAGTAAATGTGTCATAGTGAATTCCACGCATACTCTTACTGCCCCAATATGTTTGCTATTGTGCAAATAAAAAGGCATAGATTATGCAATTTTTAATTTGAAGATTGGTTTTTGAATTGCTTCATACCCTCAGCCCCAGCATTATTGTTTAAAAAAGGGAGTTCTTTTTAAAATTATTCTCCTGCTTGATAATGCTCAGCTTGATGATCTACACCAAGTCATAAAAGTAGTGTATTTTCTTAAAAACACAACTACTGCCCTACAGCCAATAAACTAGAGCATTATAGCTATGTTAAAAGCATTTTCACACGACTCTTATCCAAGCCGTAGCTGCAATAGAAATGATGTAGTAACCTCCATGAGTTTTGGAAATCATACAGCATTTTGAACATTAAATCAGCTTGGGATGAAGTGACAGATGAGTGTATGCAAGGCATATGGAAAAAATGTATAAAAAGTTTGTGAATATTATCAAAACGTTTGATAATCTTGAACAAACTAATGTAATTCAAGCAAATTATGTGCATTGCCAATGCACTTAATTAAGATGTTAAAGTGGAAAACATTGGCTGAATTAGTGGATTATGCCGATGGAGAGCTAATCATTGAGGAATGAAAGAAGTGCTGCATTTAGAAGAGAAAGAACTGAAAAAGTTGATGGTACATGGATTAGTTGGTGTTTTATCCAAAATTAATGCTGCTATGTTGGAACTTAAGGCTATGATTACAAATACTGAACATTTTAATAAAATTGAACATAGTATGAGTGAACTTTTATAGTGCTATATAGAAATTTATCCTGAAAAAAAAAAAAAAAATTCAAAGTAAACCACACTTACGAGTTTCTTTTCGACTGTTACATCCAATACTTCTGCCTTTCAAAGTACAACTTCATTTCAGTGTCATCAATTCCCTTACCTGGATCCTCTACAACTCCAATAATGAAATAAACAATGACAATATATATGTATGCATGTTTTTATGAATAAATTTGAAGTTTGTTGCATAATTTGTATAATAATATAATGCACCTATAAAGCTCCTCATTTATCGACCAGTTTGCTTAATGACTTAGTCATCGGAACAGAAATCAGTCATAAAGTGAAGATTACTTATATTACAAAAATGTTTTATTCCTTTATCATCTCTTAAATTTCCACTCCATGAACTAGAACACCATGTGTACCCAATAAACTTTATTTATGGCTTATTAACATGTTGAAGATTATCCCATTTCTAATAGTCAAATTAAATAGCTAGTTTTTTTTTAAATACATAGGAACCAGTTTTTCTTTAGAAACAAGTTTTATAGAAACATCCCATTTTCTGAGCAGAGATTTTTCAAGTACTCTGTTTTATGAATTAATCAATGAATCTTTTCTGAGAGCTGATTTATCTTTGGACAAGCAAATGCAACTGTGTGATATAAAAAGTTTTAACTAAAGCTAAATATCTTGTGCAATTATAACTACATAAAACTTTGTAATATTTCTTCTGCTGAAATATTTAGTTATGTATTATGTGAAATGAACTTATAAAATATTGGATTAGTAATTGTAAGATATTATGTATATTAAATTTATTTGTAATAACTCATCTAAACTTAACTAAAAGTTCTTATATGTTAGTGCTATTTTGAAAAATAAACAAAATTAATGTATTTTAGAGATATCTAGCATTATATGATAATTTTCAAAAAGGAAGCTGTGTTATGAAAAATCACAATCTCTATGGTGCTGTTTTGAAAAATAAAGCAAATTTAATGTATTTTAAATTTAAAATATTTAGCACTATATTAAAATTTTTGTAAAATGAAATTTTTAAAAAACATAAAAATTTTAATTCATAAAATAACACAATCCCAATTTCATAAAAATAACACAAGTGTAAAAACTGTAATTATGGATGTATTTTAACATTTGTTGAGACAGTATTAAAGACAAAATATCATTAGTGCATAAAAAAGTATAAATATAAAAAGTAATCATTAAATGAATACCTTTTTAAATGCATGTATGCTAGGAATGCATATTGGACAAATAAAGATGAAACTTTAGTCAAATTAATTTTATTACAATATTATGTGTTTTGAGTTAATTTTACATTTGAAAATAATCAATTATTAAAGTGTTAGTAGTATATATATGTCTTGTACATACAAAACATTGTTCACAGTTTACCTTTTTCAATACCACCTTTTGTTAACATTAAAGCATCGTTAACCTCACTATAAGAAGGCTCTAATTCTTTGCGAACTTTCTCAAACCAAGATTTCAATTTCGGCACATCAGAGAAAGGATCAAATCCAATTGCTAGTGGCTGTTCAATTTCACAAGCACAAAATATATCTGAAACAGATATTTTGTCTCCACAAAGATAAGTTTTATCTTTCAGGAAACCTTCTTCAATATTCTTTAAAACTTTTAAAAAGTTGTCTTTATAGAATTGCAGTTTTTCATTATTAACAGGCTTCTTTTCAACTTGTGGTAAAATGACCTGAAATTATCAATTTGAAGTTAAGTTGATTTATACATATCATTTTACACTTCAGCGTAATTCATGCATTAAATAACTTGAATATAGTATAATTAGTAATTCAGAAGTCAAACAACAAAAATCAGCGTTATATTTTCAAATTTTCACTGGACTGGTTTCGATGGTTTTACCGAACCACCATCCTCAGCTGCAAAAGTGCAAATGAACGAGATATGATATAATGATTAGATAAGATAAGAAAGCTTGGACAAAAAATAAGCTAGTGGCGCCATCTGTTGATGAAACCAGAACTAAAACATAATTTCTTTAAAGGCTGAAGGCAAAGATGGACTGGAATTAGGATCTTTAACTAGAACAGAAAGATTTTTTTGAATGTGAAATGCCTCTAGAAAATCCTGTTCTCCAATGGAAGATGTTTTTTGAATAATTTTGGCAGCAGAAAAATTGAAAGTGTGATTTTAGGACCAACAATGTTGCGCAACAGAGGACTTCTGTGTTTCCTTTTTTCTAACATATGCCTCATGTTCCTTGACGCGAAATTTTAAGGCTCTCTTAGTTTGGCCAATGTAAATTAAACCACACTGGCAAGGAATCCTATAAATACCCCAGGAATTCATATCCGGAATGGGATCCTTGAGTATGGAACTTGAAATTTCATTGATGGGAGAATAAACGACCCGAAAGTTAAATTTCTGCAAAATATGTGCAACTTTATAGCTAATTTATGGATAGAAGGGAATGACAACAAAATTTTTATAATCTCCTACAACAAGAGTGTGTCTTTTAGTGTGTTGAGATGAGAATTTTTTAACTGCTTGATTAATAATGTCGGGTGAAAAGCCCCTGTCAATAGCTATTGCTTTTAAATAATTTAGTTCTTTATCAAGGGATAGTTTGGAGGAGCAAACTTGAAGAGCACTGAAAACATAGGAATAACATGAAGCTAATATTTATTTAGGTAGATGACATGATTTAAAGTGTGTTGGAAGGCAAACCGATGAAGGTTTTTGGTAAACCATAGTACTGAAGCTGGATGTGTTACGTGTGACCAGAATGTCGAGAAACAGAAGAGAATTGTAAGTCTCAAGTTCAAAAGTGAACTGAATAGCAGGATCAATAGAATTCATTGTTGAAAGAACTTTGTATTTGTTCGGCGTGTTATTGTGTCTTAATTAGTATAATTACTCAACCAAAAATCCCATAACTTTAAGGATTTGAAAAGAAATTTACGGTATAACAATATAAAAAATATGTACAGTCCTATTTCGTATTAAAACTTCCAGTTTATAAGATGTCACAATACAAATAATCAATCATCTGCTAGCATAACAAAGACACTGCAGTACCATTTCAAAAGCAGAATTCAAAACGACCGCTGTAAATGTGGCCAATAAAATATGGGAATCCAATGAAAAGCACATATAGCCCCCTACCATTTACTTATTTTTCTTACAAACTGCATTTGTTTTGAACAGTTTTCTCCAAATTCTCTTATATTATTCCTCATAATGTAATCAATAACAACTTTAACATTCAACTTGAATGAAATGATGATATGAAAAAAAAGTTAATAATGGAAACAAAACTAGTGCAACTATTCAAAGAAATTCAATACTTCAGCTTCAGTTGTTTCTATAATTTTGAAAGATGAGAAATTTTAAGTTAGAATACAAGTGAAAAAGTGCAGCTAAATTATCTGTGTTAAATGAGTCTAGAAACGTTTTATTCTAAAATGTGTAAAACTACTATATACAGAGTGCATCATAAATTCATGCAAACTTCAGTTTAAGCAAATATGATCAGAGGGAGATTAGATTTTTTTTTCCTGTGTATTAAAAAAATATTTCAAAAGGAACTGAAAGATGCTGCTCACACGCCATACTAAGACATTTTAGCAAATTAGGCTAGGAATAAAACACCTGGCTAGAAATGGATTCGTCATATGATGCTGGAAGCAACCTATCATTACCAGATCCAGCACTAGTCATTAAACTTTTCTGCAAGAATGGTGAATTCACATATATGTTTCCAATAAAAAAAAGACTGAGGGCACAAAAAAGCCCTATTTCATTGAGAATGGGATACTGAATTTAGTACAACATTTTGAGAAAAATGGGATTCTGGGGCTCAACAAAATAGCAGAACATGGCCATGTTGCACAGAGTATCATGAAAGAACTGGCAGCCGAGACATCAACAGAGAGTAGCAGTGCTTGCAAAACTGGGAGAATTAAGGGGGTTCTGAAATTGTTCATTCAATGTATTTTTCATGGAATCTTGAATCAGAGTCCTTACAAAATATATGCACACCCACCAGTTATTACCGGCAGATACAGATGAAAGAATGCTACCTAGGTGATAGCACAAATGGAGCATGATTCACAATGGTTGCTGAACGTCAAGTACATGGATGAGGACCACTTTCCAGTGACAATACGTAAAACAGTCAAATTTGAATGACATCAAACCTTTGTGGCTACCTGACCAAGCCACTGCATTCTCATGTGACTGTTGTGGTTTCACTACATCTTTCTTTTTGGGCCTTTCTATTTTTAAGAGCATTGTTCCATATCCAGCTGGAAAACCTGTACAGTCACTGTAGAACGATATGTTTGAGCGTACATTGCAGGAAAGACATGTATTACTTGTCATCCCCCTCATGCAGCATGGTGGCCACCCCATGTTACACACGAAATGAAGAATTTCCTGTTGAGAATTCTCACTTAAGACTAAGTCATAGATCGAGTTTGTAAGATAAAATGTCTGAATATGACATGTGAACACTTTATTTTTGTTACTTGTGGAATCCCTTTTTAATACAAGGGGAGGGGGACCAATGTCCCTTTGATCATATTCGTGCATACCAAAATTTTTTCTGACCATTATTTCTTTTATTATGAATTTTTGAAAGTGTGCATGCATTTATGTATGTATTTATATATTAACAATTCACTTATAAAGCATGAGAAGAATAAGCATTGAAATTAACCTGTTAAAAGTTAATATTAATATTATTGTTGAAAGATAAAGCAGATAAAATCATGGATAGATATGGATAAAAATAAAGTTATCTGTAAGATGTGAATAAAAAAAAAGACCAAATTGTTAATGTTAATCCTGTTTTGCAGGCTTAAAACACCTGCAAAACAGGATTAACAATTACATGTCTAGATGGTACAAATACAGTTTGTGGCTACATTTTAAGATAAAAAGCTGAAATATAAATTGAAATTTAAATGCATTTATATAAGGGTCTAAAATAGATAAGATCATTACTATCCGATTATTCAGTAAATAGATTGACTGATGCATATCTTATTGCCATGTATTATTTTTAAAAATAAAATATAGCAAAATTTTCAAAAGAGGGCAACACAAGTTGTTTTGGATATAATAAAAAAAAAAAATTCTATTTTTTGAGTTTTGTTTTTTTTAAAATCAATTTTGTGTTAATATAATACTAGTTTAAATGCTAATGAATACAATGTTTACAAAAAGCTGATACATAGGATTAATCAAAATGATTTCCTCTTGTGGTATTTGTTTGACACTTTATTTCCTCCCTCCCCAGAAGTTTCATACAGTTTTATTTATTGTTGAATTATGTATAGTTTGATCGGTTGAATTATGTATGGTTTTTAGCAAATGGTAACAATTCGATTTGCTAAAAACTCTAACCCTGTTTTGCATTACAAGAAATACTACAATTTTACATATAATTTGATTAAAGTTACTCATATATATATAAAATTTGTAACAATATTCTTATTCGTAAAAACAAAATATGGCTTATTGAGAATCAATCAGGGTTAACGAAAGCACAGACAGTATGAGTTTGTTGTTACACCATCTATAGCTGGGATTAAATTGTACTTTTTTGCAACTCTTTCACACAGATGATATATATGTACCTTTTTTTATAGCTTTTATTTTAATTTCTGCATTTTGCATTTTGATAATACAAAAAAGTACTGCATTTACTATGTCAGCAATATAATGCTGCTTTTTCAAATATTTTATTAGCAATTTTAAGCTTTTCTTCTTTCATTCTGCTTCAATTCTTTTTTTATTTATTTTATTTAAAAAAATCCTTTTTCAGTGACTTTTTCTTCCAAACTAAATTTATGTAGCTTTTGTAGGCATTCTGATCAAGAGTCATCCAGCTATATGCTAACTAGTACGGGATCACACTTATTATTATACAATTTGATTGTAACCTTAAAACTAAAATAAATAATCAGGGTATTGTCTGACATTTTAGAATGTTCTTCAGTAAGAAAAGAAAACCTCCCTCTATTTAATCATTTCCATGATTAAAACAATAAACATTTGATACTTTACCTACTTGAGGGTATTTTCTGACTGTCCATTATCCCCCCCCTTAAAAAAAGTTGTCTTTTGAACTTGTAGGCAAATAATTTTTGGCCAAGTTAAGGAGTGAAAAGGCGACATCTATTTTCAGAATGGTGACGCACTGAGGAATTCCATTCAAAAGCAATCAATAAAATTGAAAAACATATAAACATCAGTAATAAATCATTCACCTTTTTTTCAGAAATCTTTCTCTTTTGTTCGTTTGTTCTTCCCAAGTATATAGCGATTTGTTTTTTCTTTAAAAAAATCTTGCACAAAATCAGCATTGTACAGCATTGACTAAGTGCACACTTAGGTTGCCACATATATATTTTTTGGTGGTATTGTTAGTTGCCATGTACCTATTCTGGCAACATACTACTTTGGCTCGTAAATATTTTTTATGACTTTTCAGTTGGGGTGAAGATAATCAGAAAGTTCCTACTTCAGGCATTTCAATCCACCTAAAGATGCATGCTACTTATTAGAAAACAGGCTGTAATACCTGACTTTAAAAGTAGTAACCTCATTTTTAGATGATCTTTAAGCTGCAAGTGTCCACTTATCAATTTATCAGAAGGTTTGCTGAAAAGTAGCACTCCAGTAATAGCTAATAGGTTTTCTATAGAACTGTTTGCTGTTATCTCACTTGATTTCAAAATCTAAACTATTTTATCAAGTGATTAACAACAGAAACATTATTAATGATACATCTGTGTGTTTCATTGCTATGATTTCGTGCACTCAAGTAATGTGTCTTTAATAAAAGTAATTTTTTTTTTTTTTTTTTTTTTTTTTTTTTTTGAAAACGTATGTTTAACTCTTTGTAAGTTTGTTGCTATATACATACTCTTGAAGCCAGCATCTAAGGATTACTTTTAGCTACTGAATACACCAGATGAACAAGAATCATCTTTCTGAATCTTTTCTCTGGGGGGGGGGGGTCTTGTTACAAGTCATACTTGAGACCAGCTAATTAACACTATGATTTACATACTACTTAAGATGATTCTCATTGCCAGTTTAATCTGTTGCCTAATTAACACTATGAAGGATGGCTAAATGTCTCTTGTGTAGCTGATTCCTTACAAGACCAAAACAATTTGTTAGGGATAGTACTTTGTCCCTCAACTACCAGGACTTTGCTTTCCAATGATACAAGTCTCTACACATAGAAAAGATATGGTTAATAAAATAAAATAAAAAGTTAACAGCACCTCATAGTCATCTCCAACTTCTGAAGAAAAAATCACGAAGGAAGAAAAAAAAGAGCAAGTAACAAATAAGAAGAGAAAAAAAATGGAAATATTATGGGGCTATATTTTAAAGGTACTGACATCTCTCCTCACAAAAAAAAAAAAAAAATAAGATGACCCCTGAGGGATATCCAAACAAAATGATAGCATTTTATAACCCATAGATGTCCAAATCATAACTGATATTCATACTTCCATTCAACAAATTTAGAGTTTCAGAACATCAGGGGTGTTCAGTTTCTGAGACACCATAAAATGAATTTAAGCTATCAGCAGCTACTCAATGTAAGATCACTCATGTGAATTCTCTGAACCATAACATACACTTCTGTCAAGAAATAATGAAGGAAGCACTATATTCTGCAACTGAGATACATTAACTAATGATTTGTTTCCTGTTCATTTGCCTTTACTTACTTATGATTTTACCTATAATTCTACATGGCATACACTTGTAACAGTTGCTTAGAAAAGTAGTTAATAATAGTATTCATACAAGTTCAAAAGCTCTAGTTTAACATTTCTTTGAAGTTATGCTACTTATAATGTCATCTGTGCATGAGTATAATTTATTAAAAGAGAAAACAGAAAAGAAAAAGAAAAAAAAAAAAAAAGAACCCATTCTAGGTGAACGAGTTGCTTAAATTATAAATCAGCAAACAATTTTGTACATTTCTAATTTCATATTTAATGGTTTTACGTATCCATATGGCAAATATTATAAAAGAGTAAAGTTTTCATTTAAGAGAAAAATGTATAAAAGCTTATTCACGAAATACATACTCTCTCACGGAAAATCATGCTTCCAAATAAACGTGTGTTCAGATGCTGCCATTCTAAATATTCATCAACTTTAGCTTGCAATTTACTATCTTTAGGATACCAGTGGTCTTCAATATCAAAATGTCTTGTAAGGTATCGTATTATAGCTATGCTGAAAACAGAATACAACAATTAAAAAAATTAAATTTTACTCTCAAAATTTATTTACAGAACTTAATACTATATACATTAAACTGATACACATATGATGTCATGCAATGAATTATTTATATTTAGTATTAATTAGATACAAAGAGATTTATTAACTGGAATTCTGATTTTAAAACATACCTTTAGCATTTATAAACTATACAAATGATACAGTTAAAATATTTAACTTTTTTATTTTCTAAATAACTAGTTATGAGCATATGAAACTAAAAATACAATAAATATTTGACTGACTTAACTGTTTGAAATCTTAATGCCTGCTTAATTTTAATACATATTTTAAAATGAAAATTAGTTGTCAAAGTTATTCACATTTTATCTAATGTACAATTTCAAAGTTTTAAGTGTTTTAGATAAATCAGAATGGCTCACTTGTATTTTAACTATGAAATTATGCAAGAGTTTTAATATAGTTTGTATACTTAAAATCAACACATGCAAAAGTTGCAGATTAGCTTCATTAATAGTTAGCAACAATCAGTATTATTCATACTAGTGAGTAACTCTTGCATTGTTTTTTAAAATAATTATACTTCTGAAAGGGAATGGCCTTCTCATTCATCATCAATATACTAACCATCTGGAATTCAAATCGATACCAAATACCAACTGATTTTTGCCAGTTATCAACATTATTTATGTACTATATTTGCCATGCAATTTAACAGCTTTGTTACTTTCAAATAGCCAAATTCTTGTATACTACATGATCCACACACTATCTTTAGTTAAGTAAATGAATGAATGCACTGCAGCTTTCCTGTAAGAAAATGCTTTCTTACATGGTAATTTTTGCATTAATGAAATGGTTATTATAATGATCATTGACTGTATTATCTTTAAAGCATGAAAATGTGACATTAAAAAAAGATAATAATTAATAAGCAATATCACATAGAGCTGAAATTATAATTTTCTAGAAAAATAAATTTTTTAACTGTTAGAAACTTATAAAACTTTAAAAAAATATCAAAAGTTTACAGCATTAGAACCACCAATTAATGTTTATATCATGCTTTATCAAGCAATTTAAATTATGATTGTCGTTTTTGCAATAACATCATTTTACACACTTTATGGAGTGCATACATCCTCCTTAATAGAAGCAGCCACTGTATAAGCCTTTTCAAATTTGCATGTTACAGATTAGGCACTTATGTTTGCCAAATTTGATAACTAAGAATGATGCCATTGGATTTTAGTACAATATTTAGATGAGAGATTTATGATTCTTTGCACCAGAAAATTGTTTCTTTTAGCTTTTTAAAATTTTATAACATGCTAGTTCTACAATCAGGTGGGAGTCGTGGGGTCGCAAATCTCACATCCGTCAGCCTCCCAATCCATTAGGACAGCAGATTAAAAAATTCCTCAAACATACCACAAAGAGTGTGGAGCCAACAGAACGAAAAGACTGGTCATCAAAATTTACTTAGAGAAAGCTAAACACCAGCTTACCTATGGCTGCTGTCCTTACGCCACTCCCACAAATTACAAGAACTCAGGTCTGAATATTTTATACTCTCAGAGCAGAGACTGTCAGAGTACAGATCTCAGCAAGTAAAATATCTGATGGAAAGTGGGAGGGTAGCTAAGAATTGAAGAACATTTTAATTTTCATTCCGGTTTCAATAACTTTTTTTCAGAATTCCTACCTGCTATGCTACCACAAATCATAATGCTTGAATTAATAAAATAACAATGAACCCTCAAACCACTAATCAAAACAATTTTCACTTTCTGTAACACTTGTCTTAGATCGATGACACTGCTTATTTACAGTTTCAGAAATATTATCACTTGTGGAGATTTTCACTATGGTTTTCTTGCAATTAATTGGAATATTTACAAACCTCTCTGTTAACACAAATCCATCATGATCAATAACAGGCACTTTCTGAAAGATGTTTATCTTTTTGAACTCGGATGTTAAATGCTTACCTGAAAAGACAACTTCATTAGTACGAATTCTCATATTGTAAAAGTTTCAAATCATTGGATAAAATATTAATTACTGTATCAGAACCACTGGTGCTTTCCAATTATTTGCATCCCCAAAAGTTGTCAACTCACTGGCGACTTTAAAAATTGGTGAAGAACATTTGTTTACTTCATGTTCTTCCACAAAGTTACCACTCTTTGTTAATTTTGATGATATTTATTCATTTATCCAAAAATAAAGTGAACAGCTACTGTGAGGGAGATATGGCTGTCTTCAGATTAATTTATGATCTATACTCTAGATTCAGATTAATTTATTCTTTAGATTTCAGATTAATTTATGATTTTAATACTCTGCTAGCAGTTTACATCATAAATTAACTAGCAAATAAACTGCTGTGTTAGCAGTTTGTGAGATTGAATTTTTATAAAAGTTTTAGGAAGTTAGCTTTACAAAATGCAAATTTTCACATTCATTGTTAAATAAACACCCTCATTTCTGAAGAAATCCTATAAATTATTTTTTATTAGCTGTTAAACTTGTACTCCCATTACTGTTTTCATTATGATGAAAGATAAAACGTGCTTGGGAAAGAAGCAATACTGATCAATAGAATAATGATTAAATATGAAGTGTGCAAATACAGGCGTATGGACATGCATGCACCAGCTGGCTAATGTACAGGCATACTTGAAAATATGCCAAAGAACACAGCAGTTCTATCAAATGTTGAAGCTGGTATGTAGATAATCAAAAACATCAAAACTTTTAGAAGGAAAGAATGCATATCAAAACTACCAAACTTTCTTATTTAAAATAAAAGTTCTTAACATAACCAAATTCAGTAATAATATATTATTAAAGAAATACATGTCATGCACTTCAAGACAATGCAATAGATACCTTACTTCAAGAAGCAAATTCTACATATGGGCATGTAGTGTCGCTTCAGTTCCGTTAAGTTTCTAATGAAATTTAGTTAAAGCGGAATGGCAACACCTCCTAGTCTCCGCGAAGAACGAAGTAAACAAACTTCGGGTTTCTGTCACGCGATTCTACGTGCATGTAAAATGTAAATAAATCTTAATAAGAATCTATAACTTCGTAAGGAATAAAATATTGGTTCCATTGGAGTCAGAGAAGTGTTATTTTTCTATATTTGCACACCAGACACTTCAGGGCATATAATGTCTCAAATTTTCTACAAAAATTTCAATACAAATTTCCAGGCATAGCCAATTTACATGTAGACTATAACTTCTGAAGGACAAAAATATATGCAGTCAAAAGTCTTTAATCCGGACTCGTCGGGACTTTAGCGATTCAGGATTATAGATCATCAGTTTAAATCTGGTAAGATGGCATGCAGAAATTATAAAATTAAAAATATGAAACCGTAATTTATGAAATAAAGAGCAATTATGATCAAAAGGGTATTAAAATTTACAAAAAAAACTTAATATTTATTTGTTTACTTTATTAAACATTTCTTTCAACGCGCGCATGCGTAAAGCATACATTACGCATAGTCGAAATTAGAAAATTGAAACCAGAAAAGTATTCGATGTGTATTTGTGATATTTATACTGAAGAGGAATTTGATTTAAATCATATCAAAGACGGAGTACATCGAGATGAAAGATCGAGATGACATTTAGTAAGGAATTATAAGCCAAATAAAATAAAAACATCTGCCCTGAAGATAAGGATAGTGCTGACAGATCAACTTCCGGTTCATTGCGCACCGCGACGTCCCCCCCTGGCAGAGCAGCGTGAAATTGATAAACAGATTTCGGAATAGTTGGAGAAACAAAGGAGATGCCTTTGTTTATTTTTTGCAGCAATTCCACTTTTTTTTTTTTTTTTTTTTTTTTTTTTTTGATGGACATCGAAACATTCGTAGATCCTTTGGCAGCTCCAGAATCGGAAATTCTTTTTGATATAATCGAAAGTTCAAGCTTACATTTATAAAATTGCTCTAACAGTCTGCAAAAAATAATAAGCCGGATCCAATTAGAAGATTAAGGAACAACGCAATCTGCAACATTAACTGAAATAGGTAATTTTAGCTTAGCTTATCCCGTCCTTTATATATTAAACGCGCATGCGTAAACGTATTATGCGCACACGTAAAGGTATGACGCGCATGCGTAAACGCATTGGCGCAGAAAGTTTGTAGCTTTGAGGTCCTGATTATAGATTATTCCGGATTAAAGACTTTTGACTGTATAAAAGAAAAGAAAATGAAAATACCAATAATTAAATTCTTTATACAACAAATTGAAATTTCTATGTACGTACCAGTCTTCTTCTTCTTCAAGGGCCAGACAGCCCAGGATGGGCCCTTGCCTTCCTCAGAATTGAATTCCAAGCCCTTCTATCCCTGGTCATGGACATCCAATTGGTTATTTTTAAAATTCTTAAGTCTATTTCCAAACAGTTGAGCCACCTAAGCTTAGGACACCCTCTTTTTCGGGTGCCGAATGGTCTGGCCGAAAAGACCTTTTTAGTTCCTCGATTTTCATCCATTCTGCACAGTTGTCCTGCTCATTACTTCTCTAAATCCTTATACAGTACAAAGTCTGTAATCCGGACGTCCATTATCCGGAATGATCTATAATCCGGACTTCAAAGCCACAAACTTTTTTTGGTATGCTTTACGCATGCACATGCGCATTGGGAGGATGTGTCACCAGATACGTTAAAAATGCTTGGCATAATTTATGGCCAGTTGCCATATTTCATTGTGAGGATGATGAAGATGATAGCCGCGAATTTGAAAGTTTTCAGACATCGCAAACTAAAGATGAAATTTTCCAGTTATTGGATTTTGTAAAGAAATGTGGAGAAGCGGTAATAAATGAAGATGATATAACAGATGTTTTTCATTGCGACTACAATGACCCAATCATTAATCAATTAACGGATTGGAAAATCTGTAGTATGGTTCTAGATCCAGAAAATACCGCTTTAATTAAGACACAATAACACGCCGAACAAATACTAATTCAGAAGTCAAAGAACAAAAATCAGCGTTATATTTTCAAAATTTTCACAGGACTTTTGGCAGCTGACGATGATGGTTCGGTAAAACCATCGAAACTAGTCCTGTGAAATTTTGAAAATATAACGCTGATTTTTTGATTTTTGTTGTTTGACTTCTGAATTAGGTGGAACTTTGTAACTGAACAAGAAAGTATGTCTGTTTATAGAATTAAAGAGAAAGTATTAGCACAAAAAACGAAGCAACTTAAACAACTTACATTGAAAGAAATGTTTAATAAAGTAAACAAATAAATATTAAGTTTTTTTTTTTTTTTTTTTTTTGTAAATTTTGATACCCTTTATCTTATAATTGCTCTTTATTTCATAAATTACGGTTTCATATTTTTAATTGTATAATTTCTGCATGCCATCTTACAAGATTTTAACTGATCTATAATTCGGAAAAAACCCCTAATTCGGAATCGCCGAAGTCCCAACGAGTCCAGATCACTGACTTTGTACTGTATATTGTTACGAAATGTACAGGCGCAGTAAGATGGCTTTCCCGCAAAATAGTTTTAGGGTTGCCACATTTGGCAAGAAATCACCCATTTGGTGACAAAATTGGCGATATGTCATTGATGGATAGAGAACCTGGAACGAATTCTTACCGGTTTAGCTCAGAATGTTCTCGAACACAAGCCGAAAGTTATATAAACCCTGCTGGTCTGCAGTTAGAGTGCGAGATAGTGTCTCGTCAGTTAGTCTGAATCAAGTTGACAGCCGGGCAGCAAGTGCCGAGTGGGTCGTCGAGTGCACTGAAAGAGCCTCTTCGTGTATCGCGGTTAGTGCATCGTCGAGAGAGTTAAGCTCCGGGAACGACTGAACCAAACAGTCGGGAGCTGTGCTCTGTGTGTCATTGAGTGCATCACGAGTTGCAGCGTGGAGAGTCTCTAGAGTACGTGGAGTTCCGAGAACGACCGAGCAGAGTGAGGAGCTGTACTCTAGTGCTTTGCAGTGACGCTGTCTCCTCCGTTATTGCCTGACAGTGTGAAGGCTGTGTCGCTAATTGTTCCAACGCTTTTATAGTAGATCTTCGATGACTGTAAAAGTGTTTTGGTGCTGTCCTGAATAATATTGGTAAATACAGCATGTTTCAATACTTAATCAAGTGTCGTCGTTATTCACTCCAAATCTACGAACCCCGTACGAACGTGAAAGAATAGAATAACGTAACAACTAGTGTCATAAAAAAAACGCGACAACTGGTGTCAGAAGTGGGATTTGCGAGTGAATGCCAGTGAACCGCCTGCAGAGAAAAGTCATAGCGGAGAAAACGAAGACTTTGATGGACTTTTTAGCCGAGATAAAACCCAGATATGATAAGATAAAAGCTGGACTGGAAGAGATAAACACTGGATATCAAGAAATGACAGCTGAGATCAAAGTCGGACTGGAAGAGAAGAAAGCCCGACGAGAAGAAATAAATGTCAGCTATGAAAAGGTGCGAGAGCAACTCTAACAGGTGAAAGTGGAGTTTATAGAAGATATTGGAGGCATAAAAGACGATGTGGAAATGACAGAAGTGGCAGTTCAAGAATCAAAGGATGAAGAAATGAAGGAAGTAGCTAATGAACTGTCTGAGAAAGACCCAGAAATGAAAGGATGAAATATCTAATGAGATTAAAGACAGAAATCGAATATATGAAGAAAATGAATGATGGGAAAGAAGTTTTTGATTCTCATGTGTCTGAAGGAGAGATAGAAGAAAGTGAAAATGCGATTGTCAAGATCGTAGAAAGTGATAATGATAAGATGTAGAAAGTTACAAAGTCATAGTTAACAAGTATTGAACCATCTGAAAATTCATGTGATGCTGAGGTGGAAAAAGCTGATGTACAACTTACGCAGAGTGCTCCAGTATTGCAAGAAAATTCACCCACTTCGCAAACTATATGTGCATCTCATAGTGTAGGTTGTGCAGACAAGGACTTGATTCTTAATCAGGATACTTCTACACGTAAAGAATTGGATTCTCTTCATAAATCTGATGCAAACATCGAAACTGGTTTTCAAGAAATCGAGGTAAATAAGCCTGTACCAACTGCTAAAATTACTTAGAAGATCCAAGAACCGTGCACAGGATGTGAATAAACTACAGAGTGATGAACGAACTGTTTTAGAACTTCCTGTGGTTGAAAAGTCTGAAAGGACTGAATGTTCAAACTGTGATCTGAAAAACAGGAATACACCTGAGAATTGCAGTGGAAAAGTGTTTGACCCAGGCAGGGGCGTAGCTAGAGGGGGCAAGGAGGCATCTGTCCCCGGGCGCAGAATCCAAGGGGCGCCAAACTGATGTTACGACATTTTAGAATTAAATTTTTTCCATCCTTGACAAGCAGTAGGGGGCGCGAAATCTTCAGTTGTCCTTGGGCGCTGAAAACCCTAGCTACGACTCTGGACCCAGGTTATCACTTAATGGAAAGACTAAGATTGAAATTCATTATGAATTTTAATTTGTATAATTTAAAATTGTTATTTGTTTAATTTGTGTATATAACTTGTACATAGTGTAAATGTTTGTTTCTTTAGTTATTCTATTTGTTTGTTTTATTACGTTTCGTTTGTACCGAATTAGGCTTCTGACCAAGGGTTGTACTGCCCAGGACGTGCAGTCCTTTTGAGGGGGCAGTGTTACAAAATATACAGGCGCGGTAAGATGGCTTCCCCGCAAAGCAGTTTTAGAGTTGCCATAAAATGGCAGAGTGAGGCAGGGTTGCCACATTTGGAGAAAAATTGGCCATTTGGCGACAAAAT